TTGGGTGTCCTGCCCCTCTATAAGTGGGACATTTTGGTGTCCTGCCCGTCTTTATCCAGGACATTTTTGTGTCCCGCCCCTCCTTGTGCAGGACATTTGGATGTCTCGTCCTTCCTTATGCAGGACATGGGACAAGGAGGTAAAAACTGGGACTGTCCCACTCAAAATGGACGGTTGACAGGTATGCAGAGCAAAAAGGTAGCTAAGAGTTAAAAGTGGCAAAAGGGCTAGCTCAAATTAGCCAAAGGGTAGCTTAAAGCTAATTGGCTCTGAGCTAGAAGTACTGTAGTCAAGCTAAAAACTCAAAGTAGCCTCAGATGACAAGAAACAGAACACATTTGTGGAAAATGTTATTTTTGTAGAACAAATATTTCGCTATAAAAAAAAACCTGTAAACAAAGTTAAATAATCCTGAATGTAAACAAGCGCCAAAAACAGCAGGTGTTTCCTGAACGTCGAGAAATAAAACTAAAACAGATTTATTTAGTAAAATCCCACAACCTGGAGCTGCTGAAACCGGAAGTCATTAAGATTTAAAGCCAATATAAAACCGGAAGTCTCGCGAGAAGGTGCGGGATCTGCTCCGCCCGTGATTCGTGCAATTATGAACAGGGAGGTGTGACTGCTCCTGATGATGATGATGGTGAGGAGCCCCCTCTCACGTGACCAGCTGCTCCTCCGCAGAAACACCGACAGGAAGGAGGTCTGACCCGAACCCACCGAGGACCGGTACCAGAGTCCGGACTCACGCAGGCCGAGCCGGAGGAGCGACACCACCCCGGGGAGATGGGCTCCCAGTGAGCCCGGGCGGAGGAGAGGGGAGGTCCGGGAGGAGGCGGGCGAACATGTCGTGAGCTGAGCCGAGCTCCGGCCGAAACGACACGCCGAGGAGGAGCAGGAGGAGGTGGGGCGGTGGTCGAGAAGATGTCCGCCTCGGTGGGGCCCCAGGGCGGCCCGCGCCCTCCCCCCGCGCCGCCGTCCATGCCGGACCTGAGCCACCTGACGGAGGAGGAGCGGGAGATCATCATGGCCGTGATGGCTCGGCAGAAGGAGGAGGAGGAGAAGGAGCAGGCCATGCTGAAGTAAGAGCCCACACAGCCCATCAGAACCACCGGAACCAGACAGCGCTCCACGAGCCATCTGGACCGGTCTCTGAGTCCCGGTCTGGTCAGAACCATGAACCGGGTCAGGTCAGAACCATGAGCCGGGTCAGGCAGGTGCGGGCTGAGGACGGGTGGTTCTGGTCCATCATCTGAGGAGGGGCTGCACCCGGACTCTGCGTCCGGCTGTGGTTCCGATTTTACGCGCGCCTGCAGGTTGTATCAGTGTGTGCGCGTGCGTGTGTGAACAAGACCCGGTTCTACAAATGGACCAGCAGTGGCATCAGAACCGTCAGTCAGGAACTGGTTTCTGAGGCGGACGGGTCCATGGTCCGCTCCGGCCGGTTCCGCTCCCCTCGGCAGAGGGAGATGGGGTGTGGTTGGCGGAAACAGGCCCGAACCGGACTGTACGGACCGGGGCAGATGAGCAGAACACGTTAGAACAGCATGGATCTGACGGCAGAACCCGAGCTGGTTCTGAAAAGATGCGGGTTCCCCTGTCGGAACCGGAGGAAGTATGGGTGCTGGGGGTGCTGCAGTGTCTTATTGTGGTCTTCAGAGACAGGATGTGGTTTTTTGTTTCATGAAGTTAAAATGAAGAGAAAATGTGGGCAGAGCAGAATCATGTCATTAACATTTCATAGATACATCAATATACATCTTTAAATAGTACTGCATCCTGGTACTTTTAGGATAACACACAAGAAGTACCTCGAAACATACAGGGTACTGACCAAGTAACATTCAGGGTACTTATTGAGTAAAATACAGGGTACATACTAAGTAACATTCAGGGTACTT